TATTTATAAATCTGGTCGTTCAACGTCACGTGTGCATTGTATTTAATTTTGCCAAATCCATCAATAGCAATTTTCAATTTACCCTATTGTTCGAGTCACGGATAGGTAACATTCCTAAGACATTGCTATTGGTTAGTTGGGCAAAAATACAATACACATGCACGTGACGGTGAACGACCAGATTTGGGAATAAACGTTGACTAACATAGATAATGAGTAATATTGTTATTCTAATGAGTTTCCAAGCCATCTATTCTATTAACTATGTTCCAAGTTAAATCATTTTCATACGTGCATGGAAAAGTTTTAAGCTCTCTACTATACTTTATAGCGCAGCGAGAAATCTGCGTTTAATGATATAGACACTACTGAATTAGTATAAACTTACTTATATGTAGAAAGACAGCCTGTTATTGAACCACTGGGCACAGAAAGAGACAATAAGGGTAGATTTATAGCAAATAATATTCAATTAACTATGGTACAACTCAAGTTAACTTGCGGCAGGTTGCATGCAGTTTTTAAGCATGCAGTTTGGATTCATAAAGAGGAATAGTTCGAAAGGCATGTCGTCCATTGCGCTAAAATATTTTCACATATATAGCGTAGCACTTGTTAGATCGCGTCTTGGCTATTTTACCAAGGTGATTGGCTCAATGGAGAGTACACTACATAATTCAATGCAGAATCAAGTACAACGTGGGGCGACTAAATTTATATGTACAGTAAGTACACTATGAGATTAGCTACAAGAAACGACTTGATCTGTTATTAAACTTTTACCATTTAGTTACTGGCTCGAATATTTGGGTTTCGTTTTCTTATTCAAATGTATTAAGTAGGTAGCTTTATTCAATACACTATACCTATATACTCTGTAGATTTGCTATTTTACGTTAATTATTTCTAATGTAAATACTCAGGGATTATTCACTTCCCACGAAAACACTTTTGAAATCCTCACACAATCTTTTCAACGGGGGTTTGAATGCCGTCAAAACATTACACAAAAGAAAGCAATCATGCCTTTACTCACACTAGGCCAAACATTCTGTCTTTCATTTGGATATAATACTCTTTGTATTCAAGCGCTTTCATGCAGAAAGCATCGCGCAAACATGCATTTAGAAACAATAAGATCATTAACCATGCATGTTGCCTTGGTAAAAATAAGTGTACTTGTTTAATAGCATTGTTTTGCGGAGAAAACTATTTTTAATTTAAAGTACCGAACATATTTCGAAATATTTCTATAACTACAAAGTGTAGGAAAAATGAATGCAGGTATACTTTATGCAGTATGTCGATCGAGTTTTGAGCGCTTAGGGATTTGAGATTGCAATTTCGAGCATAGTTCTTTGAAAGGACAACTTTAATTGATTTTTTGTATATAATAAGCTTCAGTGATCCGACTAATCTAAAAGTAATACGTATATACGCTTATTGCTTTTATTTGTTAGATTCTTTCTCACAGAGTAATGAGAGTATAATGACATATGATATCGCTTGGCCACTCAAAGCAATAAATCGCTATAACGTTAACTTTGACTAAAACTATCGCTAAGAATTAGGCCATATTGTTTCACTGAATCGAACAGTGGTGTTTTTCTCTTCATAGCATGCATGCACCGAACCGAAGATATGAACCGGTTATGAAAGTCATATAACACAGGCATGTTATACGTTAAGAAGGGCAGCCGAGAAAGAGTTTAATTTAGTCAAAATTCAAATACATTTCATGCATATACTAATAGCCTACCTGACATGGAAGTTTATTATACATGATAAAAGACAGAGTGAAACCAACTTATTTTGATATCGTGTGCCGTAATGATCTAAAGTTATTCCAAACATATATACACATACCGTTAATTCAAGATTGATCGCTTGCTTCTCATCTCAAATGTCCAAAGAAGAAAAGTGTGTTCGCATTTTTTGACAGCTATTGTATTCGCTTTGATATAAAGCAGACAACTTGACTTATCTTGCGCGGGTATAAGCGGTTGAAGAGACGCTTCTAAATTGAAAAACAATGCACTAAATCGAAGACGCGAACACTCTTTTGTTCCTTTATTATTGATTAACATTGTGGTCAAGTTTGGGACGAATCGGATAAAACGTTCTGTCGTTAAACTCTTTTTTGTCGAGGAGATTGGGTAATTTTGCTTTGTCTTCAAATGACCATATAAGATTTGGCGAGGTTTCCAATCTTTCTGTCATTTTCCCCGCCCCCAATGTTAATCCACTTGTGTCAAATATCAAGGTGTGAAATTCACTAAAGTATATAAGTTATTGTTCGGAGGCATATATCACTGCGACAACATTAGAAAGCTTATAATATAGTATTTACAGAGTCTCTCGAAGTTCAAGCTATGCGCGATGTTGGCTTCGGTGACTTTTCTACTGCGTTTGCGTTTTGGCTTAGACCGGTTCCTTACTAATTGTATTTAACCGCAAGAGGTCAGACTGAAATTCGAGTCAATCATAATTACAAGTTTCGCGCGAAGTTATTCAGTGGTAATAGAATATTCCCCTATATCTCGGTCGCTTTTTAACATTTTCTTAAAAAAGTTGCTGGAATTGATGGATATATCATTACTTAGTATAACTATATAAAAAAAATTTTTTGGACAAAATCAGAGTCTCATCATATATTGTAACCTTAATTATTACCACAATTTCCTTGGAAAGCATTCTAGAGTTATGGCATTCTACGTGAGTTATGTTCTACCTTACTTCACCGTGAGTTATGTTCTACCAAAGCTTTTCACAAACCAAATGAGTTATTGCGAGTAATGTCCAATACAGGCATCTGATGTCTGATGGTGAAGATAGTGTATGATGGTCGAAGTGTGTCAGATGGGTGTCAGATGGTTGTCAGATGGTATCTGATGGTGTAGGGGGTTATACAGGGAAGGCTTGTCAGTTGGTGAAGATGGTGTATGATGGTCGAAGTGTGTCAGATGGTTTTCAGATGGTGTATGATAGTCGAAGTGTGTCAGATGGTGTATGGTATGTGTATGATGGTCGAAGTTTGTCAGATGGTGTATGATGGTGTAGGATGGTTATACAGGGAAGGGGTGTCAGATGGTGAAGATGGTACAGATGGTGTATGATGGTCGAAATGTGTCAGATGGTTTTCAGATGGTGTATGATGGTGTATGACGGAGTTATGTGTATGACGTATGGTTGGCCTTGTAGGTTTTATTCATATACGTGTTTTCGAAAGAATGAGGCAACACTATATATGCACAATTGTGGTGTTGCTATTAACGTTTTTCACAAAGAACGAAGCAACACTAATAGCCGTTGGATGAGGGTCGAAAATGTTCAATTCCGTAGCACCCCTCGTGTAACTACATAATTTTTACATGAATGGATAGATTAGAACTTACTTAGTCAGAATCCACTTCCCCCCAAGCGAAATAGTTGCACAAATTGAAGTACAAGCTCTCCAAAGTACATGCTTCTTCGAATTTTAAAATCCGTGAACCGCCATTGTTGTGTTGCAAATACGCATGCGCTTGACCACAAAACACTTAATGCGCACGCGCAGATTAGAAAACTGATCTCAATCCAGGACTGGACAAACCCGGACAAACCCGGCGAAAGCAGGGCTGAAATAAAACAAGATGACGTCGAAGTATTTTAAAAATATATGATATATTTATGGTCTGTGCATTTGAATGGAGTTCGCCAAAGATTATGAGGCCAGGAACACTTCCAAGCCAACATTACAATAATAATTTATTTTTAAAAAAAATATGATTGATTTTTATACTCACAACAATTACATAATGTTCGCAAGCAAATCTGTTTTTCGATCAGGCTTTAAATATTAATACAATCCTAAACATTCAGGACCGTACACAGCGGGAAGACAGGGGGGGGGGGGTAATTGCCCCCTTGAGGAAACTATATTTACGATTTTTAGAAAAAATCCTGCGTACGGCCCTGCAAACATTCTAGAACACTGATAACGTAATTTATCATTTTGGGGGGGGGAAGGAGGGGGGTGTTTCTAATATATACAATAAATCTGTTTGCGCGTTTGATTCTCTTTAAACAGTGGCAGAAATTCACTTTTTTCAGGGGGGGGCAAAGCCTCCTAAATTTCCGACAAAACTTTCAAATTTCCGACCTACCCATTCGCCAATCCAATTTGTGCAATCATCATTCTCAGTTTATAAAAAAAAAAACAAAGAAGAAGGAAACAGCCTAGTACGTTATAGGAGGTATTGTTATACAACTGCATTTCGTGACGTTTGCAATCTAAATATCTAATTATAATAACTTGCGCATACAACACGCGCATACCAAGAGAAAGAGAGTTTCGGTCTGATCTAATTAGCATTGACAATTTTTCCGCAACACACTGTCCATTACTCAAGTAAATTTAAATTTGGTATCCAACAGCACTAATTAAGACCCAAATCGGAACAAAATCAACAGATTACCTGACTCAGACTTAGTAATTTGCTTTTTATCAAAAGTTCTCAAAACATCACTGCCCTCCAAAATCTCCAGAAGCGTATCCAAAATTTTTGGTCAGAGGGGGGGGGACAAAAACCGAGTAATGTCCAATACAGGCATTTGATGTCTGATGGTGAAGATGGTGTACGGTGGTGTATGATGGTCGAAGTGTGTCAGATGGTTGTCAGATGATGTATGATGGTGTATGATGGTCGAAGTGTGTCAGATGGTTGTCGGATGGTGTATGATGGTGTAGGGTGGTTATACAGGGAAGGGTTGTCAGATGATGAAGATGGTACAGATGGTGTATGATGGTCGAAGTGTGTCAGATGGTTGTCAGATGATGTATGATGGTGTATGATGGTCGAAGTGTGTCAGATGGTTGTCGGATGGTGTATGATGGTGTAGGGTGGTTATACAGGAAAGGGTTGTCAGATGGTGAAGATGGTACAGATGGTGTATGATGGTCGAAGTGTGGCAGATGGTTGTCAGATGGTGTATGATGGTGTATGATGGTCGAAGTGTGTCAGATGGTTGTCAGATGGTGTATGATGGTGTAGGGTGGTTATACAGGGAAGGGTTGTCAGATGGCGAAGATGGCACAGATGGTGTATGATGGTCGAAATGTGTCGGATGGTTGTCAGATGGTGTATGATGGTGTATGATGGTCGAAATGTGTCAGATGGTTGTCAGATGGTGTATGATGGTGTAGGGTGGTTATACAGGGAAGGGTTGTCAGATGGTGAAGATGGTACAGATGGTGTATGATGGTCGCGGGGTGTCATTCGCTGTAGGATGCTTATATTAGATATTACATTGCTATATTTTATACTTACATACACTTTAGCCAACTATGGTATGTGTATAAAAATATGTTATATCTAACATTGCGGTTCTCGTGTGGGACGTAATTCAAAGTATTTGCCAAAATATAATAATATTTAAACACATTTGACGGACATGTTGGACGTAATAAATAAAAATATAATATGAATACATGATATTTCACGTTGCGGTTCTCATGTGGGAAACGCAATTTAAAGTATTTGGCAAAATATATTAAAACGCATTTGGCAGACATGTTGGAGGTAATAAATAAAAATATAATATGAATATATGATATCTCACAATGCGGTTCTCATGTATGAAGTTTTTTAGCGGACAAAATATCTGAAATGTATCAATCGAGTTTATGCGCTATAAATTGATGTTATGTGCTATACATTGATGTTATGTGCAAATACATCGATGTCATAACCGAAACAACTAAAAGATAAACCGATACAACTAAAAGATAAACCGATACAAATAAAAGGTGAGGAAACGGAAGTAAATACCAATAAAAGATGAGGAAACGGAAGTAAATACTAATAAAAGATGAGGAAGCGGAAGTAAATCAGAAAAACGGAAGTTGAGCGAGGCAGCAAAATTGCGCGTGCCAAGTGGTGGCTCCAAGCTGGTGAATACATATTGAAAAACAAGGGCAGAACTGCAGGCCAAACTAGGGCTAGGCAGAAGAGAGACAGCTAGGGCAGAAGACCAAATGTTCAGGACTTTGTTCAGTCAATCTTAAGCGCGGTGACCAATTTACAGCATTCTTCGCAAACACGTGAAGAAAACGCATCACAAGGTGGTTCAGTGCAGCAGTTCACATCGTTACCCGAAGAACTGAATTCTCGTTTCCGAGTACCACGTACTCAGAATAAGTATGTACGGTGTGTACCAAATAATGCGTCTGTGCCGCATCCAACCTTTCAGGGATACTGAATTTTACACACATGGCTATCTCCTTCTCTCGCCTTATATATTTTACATGCCTCCATACAAGCTTTTTAGTAGAGCGAGATCACACTCCTTGAGTATGATCAAATTTTTTTACACCACAGGATATTTTACAGATACAATTTCACACACGCATCTCCAATTTTATGTTCGAAAAGTCTACACTTTTCACAAGTCTACACTACAAATAAGTGGTTTTTTATTTTTTATTCTCAGGCTTATCATTTAAATACAACATTATTTTCACAAGCATAAATTGTGCCACTGAACACGAGGCCATCACACTATCATATTTCACACTACATTTTTGAGTAACATTTAGGGACTATTGTGTAATTGTGGTATAAATTTATTACTAGGACACCAATATGGTAATTCGTAAGACTCTTCATAGTGAAAAGCGCTCTGAGGTCCGTTCATAATTTTCAAGAATAACGTCGAATTCATTTCGTAAACTATTTAAATAAGTACGTAGTATATGTAAATTGTTGATTAAAAAACGCTCCATTGTGTATGATGATGATGATGATGATGATGATGTTTTTATTGATCCATCTTTAGTTTAAAAATACAATGGATTTACAAATATGTCTATTAAAAGAGAAGAGCATAACTAAGCATGCAATAATATTTACAAACTATCTAAAATTTATATATATACAATTTGGAGTAAAAAATTTAAAAGTCTAGGAAATTATTTAAAAAGTGAATAAAAACCAAGTTTGGTTTTAGTGCAACCCCTGTCTCATTGCTCGTGGAACAAAACTATTTCTGTGTCGTTCAGTGCCTGAGAAAGGTGCGTATTTAAATATAACGTCTCTACGCCTAAGATTATAGTTATGTTTATTATGTTCCATAGTTCGTTGATAAAAGATATGACTTGGATCACCTAAGATGTTAACGAGTTCCCTCGATATGGCTTCAATTCTTCTCTCTTCGAGAGTTGGCAGGTAACCATGCGGGAGGCTAATAATTCGTAGACTCCTCCTTTGCACACGTTCCAATTCGTCCTTTAGATATCGTGGCAGACCACCCCACACTGGAGAACAATATTCAAGGATAGGCCTGATTTTAGTTAAATAAGTGGTGAGACCCACTTCGACTGGTAGATTCGCTCTTCTACATTCTCGTAGGCACA